GCTCAGGTCATGATCTCATGGTTCGTGGGTTTGAGCCCCATGTTGGGCTCTGTGCTGACAGCTCAGAGCCTGGAACCTGTTTCAGGTTCTGTGTCTCCTTCTCTCTGACCCTTCCCTGCTCACATTGTCTCTCTCTCAGAAATAAATAAGAAACATTAAAAAATTTTTAAAAACTTAAAAAAAAACTTATCTATAAAGAAAAGACAATGAGATGTACATGAAACTTCTTATCAGTAAATTCTTGATTCTGGAAAATAATAGATGTTCTCAAAGTTCTGGGGAAAACATACATTGCATATGAAAAATACATTGAATAACAATTACATACTTTAAATATTTTGTGTCGATTTTCAATTTTTAGGACCAATAAAGTAGACTTAATTATATCTAGAGAGCAGATTGTTGTTATTACAGACAACATCAACTCTAACAAAATTTGGGAAGTAGAGATGGAGTCAAGAAGAAAGAAAATATTGTGGGAGTATTGGACTCTACAACTTTCAAATGTTGTAAGCTGGTAAATTAAGAAACAGAGAATATAAGGTAGACTTTTAAAGATATAATTAATTGTAACTGCTAGGAAAAATGCATATGGAAGGTGTTAATTGTGAACAATTTCTCTGGAGAGTAGAAGTGTACTTTCCTATAGTGTATGATTGTTACCATGCATCATATATACATACATACATGTATGTATGCATACAGAATGCAGATGTGATTCTGGATTGCATTGCTGTTGTGAGGCCATAATTGTGCATGCAATGTTTAAATAGTATCAGATGGGGTCATCTCTAACACTGTAGGAATAGGATGTGTACATATCAGCCAATGGATGAATGGTCCTAGAGGTATCAGTCAACATGCCAGCTGTGGCCCTTCCTCCTCTGCTCAAACTGCCCTACCCAGAACCCCATCATGAAGGATGATGAAAGCAGCATCAACACTGGGCTTTGCAATGGAATGGCCAATGATTGAATTACAGTCCATCAATAGCCTACTCACTGGTCCAACGTGTGACCTGATAACTAGAATTGAAAAAAATTCAGCGAATTCCTTTTCTCAGGAATTTGAATTCAGAATGTGGAAAGATTTGCTTGAAAGTGGACAGTCTCAGAGACTTGTTGTGAAATGGTCTACAAACTGCAACCAGGAAATCCGAGAGCCCCTCCGGTCCACAGCTGTCCTACAATTCCAGTTGCCCAAGGCTTTACTGTACTTCCTGTGCTTAATTTCCAAAGGGTTTCATCTCCTTATTAGACCTTCCAGTAACTACTACTATTACTTAAGTTAGTTTGAAGGAGACTCTTCCTTGCATCCAAAATTACTCTAATTGAAAGAGAAACCTAACAATAGTTTCACTTTGCATTCAGAAGGCAAGAGAAGTATGGTGACTGCTGTCCCCTGGGACAATAGGGTGAGCTTGTTCCACTACCTGCAAACCCCCTATATCACAAGAACTAGGTGCATGAGCCTAAGATTGCTTTTTCAAGAAGAGTAGTTTTGGGGGTGTCTGGGTGGCTCAGTCAGTTAAACATCAGACTCTTGGGGCACCTGGAGTCAGTTGGTCAAGCATCCAACTTCAGCTAAGGTCATGATCTCACAGTTTGTGTGTTTGAGCCCTGTGACGGGCTCTGTGCTGACAGCTCAGAGCCTGGAGCCTGCTTCAGATTCTGTGTCTCCCTCTCTCTCTGCCTTTCTCCTGCTGGCACTTTGTTTCTGTCTCTCTCTCAAAAGTAAATAAAAACATTTAAAAATTTTTAAAAAACTCATCAGACTCTTGACTTTTGCTCAGGTTGTGATCTCAAGTTTTGTGGGATTGAGTCCTTCATTGGGCTCTGTGCTGACAGTGCTGAGACTGCTTGGGATTTTCTCTCTCTTCCCTCTCTGCTCCTCCCTTGTTTGTGCTCTTTCTCTCTCACATAAATAAGTATACTTAAAAAATGATAGGATTTTTTTAAATTGCTTAATTTTTTTCTTTTTAAAAGATTTCTGGTCTATTGGATTGGAGATCTCAAGATAGCTCTCAAAGCCTCCAGCTTCCTAAAATGAGCTTAGGAAAAGTTTTTTTTTTTTTAATAAACTTAAAGTTCTATTTAATGACAACTTTGTTTTTCAGACTCTGAAGTAAGAGAACTTAGACTGAATCTAAACCTTCAAAACAAGGAGCAGTATGGATGTTTAGAAGCCATTAGACTGATTCTCTTCCTTGTTAAACCCTTCTCCTGGAGCCCTTCCCAGGAGGCTTGAGAAAGAGGAAAGAGACAGCCAGGCCCTGCAATCCTCTTGTTGAACACAAAAATTTCACAGAACATGAACATCAAGCAGACTCTGTGAGGCTGATGGGATCAAGACAAAAATAGGATCACTTCGCAATTATGTCTGAACTCAGACAAAACATGAACATTGCCCAAACTACAAAACTGACCTAACTGATCCCTATCTAAATAAATTTCTTAAGACACCCCATCATAGAATTAACTCCACTTCCTGAGAGCATCCAGTTAGGTAGTGCCCCCACCTTCTTAGCCATCCTTACATCACCAAACAGAAGTCCACATACTTCTTAGTAAGTCCTTTCTAATGCCTTCTTCCTGAGTTCTGCCCAGACTGAGCTCTCTCTTCCTCAAAGAACAGTAAACCCCACTTGTTCAAGCAACAGACATGTTCCTGGTGGTGTTCAGCCAGGGAGTCTTCATATTTGTTTGTTGCTCCACTTACTTGTGTCTGATCATCAAAGAGTGTCTCCCCACACTAACTTCCTTGCTCAAGGCAATAATTATCAATGTTTACCAAGCACTTACTACCTGCCAGGTATGAAATTAATTTATTTGATCCCCACAATGACCTTATGTGTTGATAAGCTTAGTAGTGTATATACAGATGAGGTACTAAGTTTATAGCACTAAGTGGCCAAGCCAGGAGTCCAAGACAGCCTGCTGGCCTGGCTTTGGGGCTCTGGTGTCCACACCACCCTGCCCCCCACTGTCCTGGTGCACAGTGCTCTTGTACGTCACTGAATAGTGTGAGGTCACTGGTCACTGTGCTATCTGCCTACAATGAAATTCACTATAATAAGTGGTCCCAGGGATTTCACTGCTGGGATTCCCAGAAGATATGGAAGAATGCACATCCACAGGAGGAAGAAATCTTCCTAATAACAGTATCAGAAATAACTGAGCTTCTAAACAACTGGATTTTTTTTTCACCTAATGAACACATTAATCACAGAATTCAGAATTTTCAACCTAATTTTAAGAAAGGTAAGGGATAGGGGCACCTGGGTGGTTCAGTCAGTTGAGGGTTCGACTTTGGCTCTGGTCATGATCTCAGACTCTGTAGATTCGAGCCCTGTGTCAGGATGTGTGCTGACAGCTCAGAGCCTGGAGTCTGCTTCAGATTCTGTGTCTTCCTCTCTCTCTTGCCCCTCCCCTAGTTGCTCTCTGTTTCTCTCTCTCTCAAAATAAAATAAAACAAAAGAATTTAAAAAGAAAGAAAGAAAGGTATGGGATGATTGCAAGTTCAATAAACCTAACCAAGAAAGATATTTCTTTTGTGTTTTTCTCTCAATTTTACTAATGCAGTCAAGAGAACATTCCTGCTTGGTAGTAATATGACTACCATTTCTTTCTCTCCCCAGAAAGTGGGGGGGGGGGGGAAGGGGCTGAAGTACAGAGCCTTAGAAGCCAATAATTAATATTTAGTAGGGTTTCAATAACTTAGATTCATTTTATTTTAATTTTGTAATTACCTTCCATCTATGGCCTACTATACTGGTTTTCCATTTATGAGTGATATAAAGTTTCATTTAAAAATTATTTCAGTACAGGGGCACCTGGGTGGCTCAGTGGGTTAAGCGACCGACTTCGTGTCAGGTCATGATTTTGTGATCGTCCATGGGTTTGAGTCCCGCATCAGACTCTGTGCTAACAGCTCAGAGCCTGGAGCCTGCTTCAGATTCTGTGTCTGTATCTCTGTCCCTCCCCCACTCATACTCTGTCTTTCTCCATCTCTCAAAAAGAATAAACATTAAAAAAAATTTAATTTCAGTACAAATTTGAGTTCATTTAAATAAATATGTAAAATAAATAGTGGTACAGGTGGTAGGAAAACAAACAGGGAAACAAAAATCATGGGTCGCCTGGGTGGCTCAGTCCATTAAGCTCTTGGTTTCAGCTCAGGTCATGTTTCTTGGGATGCACAGGGTGCTAACAGTTCAGAGGCTGGAGCCTGTTTGGGATTCTCTCTGTCTGCCCTTCCCCCGCTCACACTGTTTCTGTCTTTCTCAAAAAATAAATAAATAAATAAATAAACTTAATTTTTTTAAAAAAATCATTAATGTGTTTTGACTTCAGTATCCTTTTCACCTTGGATGCTGGAACGACCTTTTAATTCATCTGTCATTGATCTCCAGGGTGCAGTTCCCAGCTGCATGAATTTCTACCTCAAGTCCAACCTCTGGCTCTCTCTTCACCTCCTCCCTCACTTTCCCTTCCGTCTTTCTGTCTTGCTACCCCACCTCCCCTAATTTCTTCTGAAATATGGGGGGGTGGGGGTGAGAGTAGGGACGACTTAATAAAGAACATCCCTTTGCTTTGGTAACACCATGCCCCAAAACTGGGAGTGACCTGGACCACCTGCTCCCTAAATGAGGTGCAGGGAACTCTCAGAAAGCCTCGGCTGTCTCCCTCCAGGACTGTGAAGTTTTAATTCTCCAAACTGCTTAGGAATAGCGTTTCTAAAACTGCTTGGACAGCGGATTCTTTGGCCCTCCTCCGTTCCAGCTTAGAGTCCCTGTGAGAGCACGTTCCTGTAAGAAGAGTGAGTGAATTAAACTACTTTGGTGGAAAAGCCAGGGAGGAGATGCCGCAGATGCGGCCCCCTTCCTTTTTCAGCCTGTGTAGCACCTTGACCTTCATTCTACTCCAGCCCTCGGAATGGAGAAGTTTGGGGGAACTTCTGCGGGAGGGGTGAGCTTGAGGGCAGGGATGGAGCCTGACTCCCGGGATTGAGAGGGGAGTGGGCAGCGCTCGGGAATAACGCCCCGGACCCGGAGCCCCGGCTGCACAGCCTCAGACTTCCCAGAAAGCCCGCAGTCTAGACAAGCTGGGTTCAGATTCTCCCCTCTCGGAGAGTTCTCAGGAAGTTTGGGGGAGGGGCGAGCCGCTGTCTCCCGTTCTCCGGGCGCGGGAGGCTGAGCAGGGGCTGCGGCGGCAGCGGGGCTCGAGCGGTCACGTTCCCGCCCACCGGCGGGCTCCGGGGCTCCCGCAGGGCCGCCAGGCGCGGGCGGGGGCGGCGGGCAGAGCGTGCGGGCGGCATGGAGGCACTGGTCCTGCTCAACGCCCTGGCCACCCGGCTGCTGTTCTTGCTGCACTCGCTGGTTGGGGTCTGGCGAGTGACCGAGGTGAAGAAGGAGCCGCTGTACTGGCTGCTCGCGCTGCTCAACCTCTTGCTCTTTCTGGAGACTGGGCTCACCCTCAAGTTCAAGCGCGGCAGAGGCTACAAATGGTGAGCGCACCCCGGGAAAGGGAGGACGCGCGGAGTCCCTGGGCACCGTTCCCTGCCACTCGCGGGCAGCCCCAGAGCCCGTCTCCTCGCAGCCCGCAGATTCCTTACTCGGATTCGGACCTTCTTTGTCCTCGCCCGGAGCTTCCAAGGAGCGCGAGATGCTTGCGCATCTCTGAGACCCGCCAGAGTACCTCGGGGTCCCAGGGCTACACAGGGAAGGCTCAGTCGCTGCCCGGTTTCACCCAGTCCCAGGTTTGGTAACTTGCAAGATATGAAAAAAAGAAAGGAGACCCTTGCCTGCTCTGCAGAAGGTGCTCCAGAGCGGGGTAGTCGTGGAGCAAGGGAGATGTCCATGTGCGCTCTCTGAATTAGGTGTGTGTGTGTGTGTGTGTGTGTGTGCGTGCGTGTGCGTGTGTGTGTATTCGCATGCAAGTGTGGGGATGGTCCAGAGAGGGGGCAGTCGTGGGGCAAGGGGACGTCCATGTGCCCTGCTCTCTGAATTTGGGGCGTGTGCGTGTGCATTCGCACGCAGGTGTCGGGATGCGCTTCCCTGGGCACCAGAGACTTTTGTGAGGACTAGTGTGCATACAACAGTCTCCCAGGGCAAGAAACCCGGGAAGCACTTTTGTCCCGTTTCGCTTCCTTTAATCCAGAGCCCTGGCATAGCACCCGCTTCATGTGTCTTGGTTCCTTCGGAGCTGGTTATTGGTAAGTTTATCTTGTCAAAGAAGGGTTGCCACTCTGATGGAGGGTCCAGCAAGGAGGGGTTCAAACCAACCTCAACCTGCAGGAACTACAGACTCTTGTCTGCCTGATGTTTTATTTGCTCCTCAAAGACTTGAATGGTAATTGCAGAATTGGGAAAAGATTATCCTGCCATTTACAAAGAGTTTCCATCTCCATCCCTCCATGCCCAGGAGGTTTTCATCCCAAACTTCTCCAAGATAGGCCTCTTCCTATATTAAATCTTAAAAACAGTAAAATTATGGTCATATAAAATATTCAGTAAAATGTATGCTACACATTAGTAAAAACAAACCAAAACAACAACAAAAACACCAGTAAGTCTATGTTTTCATACGTCAATACTTTTAAAAAGTACTTAATCTACAAGAAAATATTATTAGTCAATCCAGGAATTATATACACAATGGCATTATAGTTAGCCACCAAATTAAAGGGGAAGAAAACCCCTGTTTATAGTTTTATATGTTAAACTGCAAAAGGTTGTGTATTTCATGAAAGTTCAAGGATGAGAATGTGTTGCTCTTAAGATGGTGTGAATCTTGCTTAAATTCTCCACTGCTTAAAAATTTCTAGAATTATCAATGAGAATATTATTCAAGTAGAATCTTAATAAAATAAGGATTGGAATGTTACTACCCTCCCTCTCACTATGAACAGCTTAATAAGCAGGAGATATCTAAGGTACTTGCCAATGTGCCTTTTAAAAAACCTAAAAAAAAAAAAAATGGCATTAGCTTCCCCCAATAAGCCTTAGGGTTAAAGTAACAAGGGGAGAAAAGTGTTCCTGCAGCAGGTTATGTGAGATTTATTTAGTTTTTACTGATCAGCTTTAAGATGCTAGGGTAGAAAATACCTTCTGTAACAGGAGCATCAGGTTTGAGGCTGAAAATTTTTCCATGGAAGGTAATCCTGTCACCAACCATCACAGCTTCTAAGAGAAATGTCAAGCTTGGAGGAGGAACCAACTCAACAGGCCCTAAATTAGCCTCTCTCGTGCTCCAAGAGTAGATCAGAGGCCTTAGCTCATGTTAAGTCAAAATTTCCCTCTAGTTGTATAGGAATACTGCAGCCAGTTGGAACTTTACCTCTATGACTATACCATCATTGGCAGCTGATTCAGACTGGTATGTAACTTACAACTAAGAGAGTAAAAGAGATTGGGGCAAAAATGGGTGATCAATATGTAGAGTTTAATTGAGAAATGGGGACATATTCATGTGTGGTCTGAAAATCAGAAGAAAATCAGAGTAATCTGGGCTTTCCCACTTACTTGCTTTGAGGTATTGAGCAAGTTACTTAACCTCTCTGACCCTCAATTTCCTTATCTATAAACATATATAGGTTGTTATAAATTAAATGAAATAATATATTTGATGGTCAATGAATAAAAAAGGAATGTTTTATTTCTAGATCCTAAGGTTTTTCTTCTTTTTCTTCTTCTTCTTAATGTGTCAACTGGACACATTTTCTGCCTGTACAAGTCCAACAACATTACTTGAGGGGACTGGCCAAAAAACCAATGGTTCAGAATCAAAAAGTCGAAAAATATCTCAGCCTTATTTCAGAACCGTCCCATGATGTATACTGTATATTATAGCACTAATTCAGAAAAACTGTGCTGGCTACATATCTAGACCAATATTTGAAAATAAACAAAGAAAATAGTAGATTTGACTTATAAAATTTCAGGAACAATGAGTCTTTGTAAATGATCTAAATAGAAATGTGATTGATAATACTTTGTTCTATTAATGTTACCAAATGCTTTGTTCTACAAGTCTGCAAATGTCATTTTTGTAGTGGACAAAGCTCACACACTATTCTGTCATGATGAAAAAATCAGAAGATAGGATTCTTGAAAAAATATAGAAAATTATTCCTGATATAACATGGTAACAAAAAAGATTTGACTTGGGACATATTTCTTTTCTGGACTAAAGTTTTCTGAGTAAGACAAGGCATAATTTTTTGTTATATTTGAATGTTAAGAAATGATTTTCATCAGAAAATCAAAGCTAAGAAAATAAAAAAAGATAAGTAAACATTATGACAGTGCCTATATCTCTATAGATCTATCTATCTATCCATCTATCTACATGCAGATCTATATATTATATACTTTTTGATCCATTGGTCTTACATTTTAGAATCTACCCTATAGAAACAAAAGTACTCATATGTAAAGATATATGTGCAGAAATATTAATTTCCATCTTGTAAGTAAAAAATAAAGCTAAAAACAACCTGACTATCCATCATGGCTGGCTGAAAAATTGTAATATACCCACATTATATATATTTTACTGGTATTAAAAATAACGGGCTAAAGTTTGACTATTGACCTACATGGTTGTCAGGAGAATAAAATTACAAAGTTATGTATATTATGGGCTAAATTTTTAAAAGACTTGTTAAAGAATTATCCTTTGTATCAATTGAATACATTATCCATTTATAAGTCAAGAAGAAGAATAAGATGATGAAACCTTCCCATACTTAAACTCAATCACCCAATCAAATAATGCTTGAATGGTAGATTAAACTCTGTATACACAAGAAGTGAATGTTTCTTTTCTGGAACATCAGATCCGTGAATCTCTGTTAGACTCCTCTGAACTACTTTGAACATTGTTCTTTTCACTACAGTCTGCACATGCCCGCAAGTAAATCAAACTTACAGAAATCATGGAATGATACATTGAGCTATAGAGGAAAATGTGAAAAAAGTTTCCTAAAACATAGCAAACATATTACACTTGCCCAAAGAATGTTTCTTTAGCTATCCTTTGGAAAGGACACATGGAGCAAGCACTGCTGAGCTCAGCTGTCAGGGGGACAGCAACATTACATCAACACTAATAACTTACAGTTGGACAAGTTTAATGTGTTGGAATCCTATAGAATAGAGAGGGCGAGCCAACAGACACATCCCTTGTTAAGCCCAATAAATGTGTGCTAGTGGAATTTGCTCCTTTTCACCTGGTATTTATTGATTTCATGTACGTATTCATTTATATTTCTATAAGATGGAGACTAGTATCACTTGCCTTATGGTTTCTTGATTTTATTTTCTATGGTCCAGTTAACAGTCTAATAGATGCGTGAATTACCATTTAGGTAAAGTCAAGCACAAGACAGTGTTTCTGTTCCTTTTTTGCCAATACCAATCAAGTATTTTTCAGGGGTTAGAGAAATGACCAAGATTGTGACAAGTGTGAAGCCTGTTCACGTGAAAGCAGGTGGTACCTAAGAATAAATAGAAAACTAAGTTGAATTTATTTATTTAAAAGTACAGAATTTTAAGCACTGAGTTTTCCTCATCAAAATTTCAAGCATATAAGGTAAATATAATTGAGTTAATAAAATACCTCACGTATTTGGTCACCTTTCTTCATTATCTCTCTTTCCTTTTTCCTTTACTGAGTGTAATCAAATGTCTGTTGAGTTACCTAATAAGTACATGTGATACTATGCTAGACACTGCGTGAATAGGCAGAAAAAACAGGAAACAAACATATGTGAGATTTTAAAATAAAGGGTAGTATTTTGATTAAGTGCTCAAATGTGTGGGAATAAGAATAATTATGAAAATTTAGCATTTGTTGATGTTCATGCTCTTTCAAGTGCCTTACACAGATTATCCCACCTGACTGACACTAGGTACAACAATTTTCTGTTTCTCTGTTTTCCTTCATTTTTAGATGAGGAAACCGAGAAACAGACCTGTGAAATCATTTTATTTAGGATCACTTAGCTAGCAACTGAAGGAGCAGAGGTATTAAGTGTCCAACAGTTTAGAGGAGAAAAGATGTAATGAAGTGTACTGTGGATGGGGTGGTAAGGAGAAGGGATATCATGGTATTCGAGCTGGAGCAAGAAAAATGGGTAAGAGACAGGAATGCAAAGGCTGTGTAGGTAAAGGACATCCTGAGGGAGGTGAGTATAGGGAAACTTGAGCAGATTTCTCTGGAGGAAGCGCACAGCTTCGTATTTCTTGATTCAGCAAAAGGATCTGGAACAGCTAATATATGTTAGACACTGAGTGTCAGGAATATGGAAGTGGATAAAATGGGTAAAACCCCACCCTGAAGGAACTCATGTTTGGTCAGGGGACTCAGAAAAAAAGTAAATAATAAAGTGAGCTGATAGGTAACAAATGAGTGATCAGAACTCTGGAGGCCTGAATGACAGGAGTTCCAGAGGTATGAAGCAGCAGGGGAAGATTCCCATGGGTGGTCAGAGATTCCCTGGGG